GCAGATCACTGCACCATCATTTTTCACGTCTCATGTCATTAGCAGGAGGGCCCTGAACAACGCAGAAGGCCTTTTGACATTCGAGGCCCCGCTCCTGTCCCTGTTCAGCAAATGCGCCCACGGTCGACTCTGGGCTTATTGCCAACACGGAGCCTTGTTGGGCACCGTCAGCCTTTGACCAGCACACGGGTCAGGCCAACGCACGCTTTTTCGGGTCAACACTTGCAGGCCCGGCCCTACCCCGACTTGGGAAAGAGACCCCATCGCCAAGACCGGCGCGGGACAGTGTTCCGTATTGCCTACTGGCTGATGTCCCTTCATCCCCGGCCTGCCCTTCGGACCCTTCGATCGCACCCTTGACTGTCGCTCCCTTGGGACCCAAAGGGCTACTCGGCACCTCGCAACCTAAGACCTGGGGTAGATAACATGCCCATGTCCTACTGATAGTGGCACCCTTGGTTCCTTGAGTAAATAAAAACATGGATACATTTTTGTGCCCCCTTGATTTTGACACCACTTGAAACTGAAGGGCTTGGTGGCCTTCGTGGTGCCTCGCTAGAAGTGGGCGCCTCTTCAAAATACAAGACGTGGTGCCCGAAATGAAGCCATCGGATATTTCTTTGGCGATATGTCCGACTGAGAATTTCGTCAGGGTGGTAGGCGTAAAAGTTGGGCAGTTCCTGATTTTGGTGCCCTTTGAAAATGAAAATGTGGAGAATCTTTAAATGACCCGTTTGGATTGGCTGCCTACTTAAATTAAGGTTATGGTGCTCCAATATAAGTTTTATCACGTCGGGTCGCGCAGTATAGGCAAGCACCTCTAACAGAACTCTTTTGCTATTTTGAACAATTGCATGAATGAGATTATAGCTAACCAATTACGGGGCCGGACCAGGTTTATCCCCTATACTGGTGGGGGTTAGCGATCATACGCATAGCTGTCATTTACCTAAATGAACGAATAGCTGAATGATATTCATTGAGAAGCAACAACTTAATGACGATAAAGAAATTACACCATATACAAACCGGGAGCCTACTATTCCCAATATGCAAAGAATCTCTATCGTAAACCTATCGAACCAAAAATTTAGGCCATCTCTCACGCATCATTAAAGGCCTTCATGAACATGCCTACTGAAAAAAGTTGAAGAGCATGACTTGTGTGTCACCCGGGAGAAATCGCTCCACTTTTTGTGACACCATTTCAGAGCTTCAGACGTGAATGGACTGGTACGCCGCAAGTTACGTCATGCGGTCAAGCACATAACCAGCAGCATGCATTAGTAAGGATTGTGGAGAAGTGAAATCAGAACGTCCGAAGCGAAATCAATCCCGATCAGGGACGAACCATCGGACGGTCCGCCCCACCCGGCTGACGGGTGGCCGGGGCCGCGGGCTCTGGCCAGAATCCAGGGGGCGGGGGGAGGGAGCGACCTCATAACTTGTCCTGACCAGGGTCGACAGGCGCCGGCTCCACTATATAACCCAGCACCAGCCGGGACAGAGCATCACAGCAGCTGCACCTACCGACGAGCGACATCTCCCGTCCCCATACGGCCATACTCATTATGAAGATGGTAAGTCTGAACGACTTGTAAGCTTTCTCTGGTTTAAATAAGACGGAACGTTTTTGACGCCACTGAATCTACTTACACCATGGCCTGCGCCAAAAGGCAACTGAATTCGCCTGCACGAAAACCTAACGCACACGGAAGACAGTCTTTGACGAGTCTAATTTTCTGGCATTGCTAAGTTCAATCATAAAAACGCGGGCAGTGTCCAAAAATTGTTACTCAAAACCTCCGAAACCTCTCTTTAAGCCGTCATATTTGAGAGGTCATCCGATCCCGTCTGACACTTCCGTTCCCTTGTTATTCACAGCTGGTTCTTCTGACGCTGGTGGCCGCCGTCGCCGCCGACTCGCAGCCCCGCACCAGCTACGGCGCCGCCCCGGCCGTGCGTACCGTCGCCGCCCCCCTGCCCCTGGTCCGCATCCTCGAGTCGTCAAGCACCAGCGACGACCAGGGCGGCTACGCCTTCCGCTTCCTCTCCGAGGACGACATTCAGCGGCAGGAGGAGGCGGCCGACGGCACCGTGGTCGGCTCCTACAGCTACATCTCGCCCGAGGGCGTGCCCGTCAGCGTGCGCTACGTGGCCGACACGCTCGGCTTCCGGGCGGAGAGCGACGCGCTGCCCACGCCCGTGCCCACCGAGTACCCGACGCCCGAGGTGCCGTCCACCGAGGCGGCGCCCGGGGTGCGCACCGTGCAGGAGGGCTACTCGGCGCCGGAGCAGCAGGTGGTGCGGGCCCAGCAGCCGGCCGTCGAGTACGAGCCCGTCTACGAGTACCGGCCCGTCTCCCAGTGAGACTGAGCACGGCCTCGCCGCCGCCTGTCCATCGGAACCGCCTTCGCCATTGACCGACGCCATGTCTGGAGACACGCTACGTCTATTTATGTGTGTGTGAGAGAGCGGGACCAAATCACCGCTGTATTTATGGTGTGAACTATCTGTGTACATGAATACATTTCACTTCAGCGAGCACTCTCAATGCCATGGGTATGGTCATAGTAGAACAACCAGCTACTCTAACGCGCCTAGAGGACTTACAATGAATCTAGAGAGTGGAACTGGGGGCTGTTACGGAACGAAGTCACGTAGGACGTGTGAATCTTGTAGATTAATGGGACATTTCACTCAAATCCCCCTCAAACACTAAGCCTACTCCCAGCACAAATACAAAAGTAAAAACACTATAAATGACCACTTTTCAGGCAGGCTCGAAGGGCGCATTATCCAAACGTAGTAAATGGGTGAATGGCTGAGTGAAAAAGCCAGTGAATGAACGCGTGTGAGAGTCTTTCAGTACAAGCGACTGGGTGCTACGAAGCGGACGAAACATGAGTGATGGAGTGGCATCATCTCGAGCCATTGCGTTGCGTCACGCGTTGACAGCGTAGTATTGCGTACAGAGTTCTCACCGCTGACCTCGATTGACTCGGCAGACAGCATCAGCATATTCTATAACACAATGTCTGACTGTGCTGACTTTTCCGAGAGCTGAACGACGCTAACTTTGAACCATCTGTCTAGGTAGCACACAAAATATGCGCAAGCTTCCTTCGCTCAAAGTGAAATTTCGCGACGAAAATATAGCCACCTCCACCTAATCCACAAATTCGGCATTTCGTTCACGTCATCTCTCCTGGGTTTGACGTCACCCAGCTGTCTCAGAGATGAGTCTGGGCCTCGGGCATACCACCTCTCACCCCCGCGATTACAAGCCCTCTGGTTCCCTGCCCACCATTCTCAGTGCACAGCTTTCCTTGCACGTACACTTTTGTTTTTCGGTGCATGGAAACAGTTCACCAAAAGCAATCCTGCCGTTCAAGTTGAAAGGTTCGATTTACGTCTGCACAACGAAAATGCGATCACATCTCTGGCGTGCGTGGAAGCCTGGGCCGGCCGGACTCCCATGGCACGTTTACTTATCACACCCTCTTAGGTTCCTCTGCATCAGTAACGCTCTGCCCACGTCCGGAGCGCGCGGCTGGGTTCGTCCTCAGCCTGCCTTCTAGCCTTGGCACCGCAGCCGGGAGGGCAGCTCACGTGGCGGGTGACGTGTGTTTACAGCGCGCTGCCGCCTGAATCTGGCGCCCCGACCACGTCATAGTCTACACGTGCCCTCAAGCATCGCTGGTCGAGATGAAGCTGTCTTGTAACGCTGACTGTGACGTCTTACACTTGCGGGACACGTTTTCATATTGTTGCTCTGCTCACTTGTTGGCTTTGCGCGAGATGCGGATGTGTGTGCGGGGTGGGGGTGGGGTGCGGAGGGGGATGCCCTTTTGAGTGTGTATTCTATGCCACTGCGCATGTCGCATGTTTCCATCTTTGCATGACTAGGGTCCATGAAAAGCCCTCTTGGCTTGGACAGTACCACGGGGATGGGACCCCGATGTAACAATAAGTAAATCAGTGAGCAAGTCAACAAGTGAATGAATTCGCCCATTGGTGAATGACTAAATTAAATGAGCGAGTGAGCATTCGATCGTAGCGAGCAAATGGGCGCTGTATTACGATGTAGGGCAAACTATTCTTAATGAACTATGCGCATACAACAATACCATCTGTTCACTTAAACGATATCGTTTCTTGTAAGTCAGATCATGCAAATCTGGACATGAATACCCGATTTTCAGGTCATGCAAGAGTTTTAACAGGCGGTGAATGGCAGAATTCGAGGACGTGAGGTGGGTTAGTGCAAATAAATGGTGGGTTCGAGACTCTCCGAAAGCAAACGTTTCGCCAAACGGAGCCATCTTCACCATCAGGTGTCATGCCATGCAGTGGTACGAGGGTCTGAATATCCCTGAACAATACCTGGCTGACAGACCGGAACAATATTATCTCAATTACGACCATGTGGTTGGCGTGCGTCAGTGTTCACACATTACGCCATGCTTATCTACGGCTGTACCCTCAAAGCCAACAAGGTTTAATCTTTGCGACTAAATGGCACGTGACCTGTAACGTTTGTGAACCACTGGTCCAGCGGCCCACACTGGCTTCGAGCCAGTGTAGGTAGCGCAAACGCAAGTTAGAATTCTCCCCATTTCTGAGCAGGAACACCGTACCAGTAATGCCAAAACGTCGCTCTGATGATCATACGCCTCACTCAGACCCGTAGCCGCTCTGCGCATGTTCCCATGAGATGGACAATCAAATAGGAAATAAATGAAGCAAGTAAACGACATAAACCTTGCACGACTGACCGCAAAACCGGAGCCAAACCAACGAACACATCCGTCTGGTCCAACATCGGAAGCCATTGAGTGTGATCTCACTGTTCCGCCCGAGTCAGAATATTTGCATAGTGAGTCATCATCGCCCGCCAAATCACGACCTTGAAAGCCGCTTCAGGTCCCTCACCATTATGCAAAACCGTCGAACCAAACGCTAATGCTCTCCTTGTTGGTGGCGGCGGCGGGCCGCCTTCAGCGCCGGCCGGCACCGCCTGCCGGACTCGGCACACTCACGACTCGGGCGGGGACAACAGGGGCTACATGACTCGGCCCAGCCGGACTTACTCGTTTTGGGAGTCAGGTACACGCTGATGGCAGTGATAGGATCGTCGCTGGCGTCATGGTACAGCTCCGTCACCAGAAGGTCGTTGTCCTTCATACGCAGCGGGAATTTTTGCATGTCTGCGGAACGGACAGGACGGACTTCGGCAGATTGCCCACGTATACTGAGCTGAGGGGCGCCGAGCGGTGTAAGTGACCAAGCACGTCACTCCAGTCAGCACCCAGCACAGCACTCATCCCCAGTGGGGAGGCGGTTAGCCTTAAATCTAGCCATTATCCTTGAAAGCACGCGTTCAGTGAATTGCCACATAATGTGCTACCCTCGTGGCATAAGGGAAGCATGCTGGACAACTGATCCCGCGGAACTAAGTAACAAAATCCAGGGGCGAGAACGGCGTTTGGCCTCGCTGACGCGGAAAGGTCGACTAGGAGCTGGCAACGTGGTTACACACGGTCCAGCACGGCCGCGTCGTGCCACCGTAGAGCGCGCAGAGCCCTGAACAACTCCCTCTGGCAAAAACGTCGGGAGCGGGATCTCCTAATAAGATGGATCAACAAAAAAAGGCTGGGAAGAGCCGTTGCCGTGTACCGCGACGCTGCTAAGGCGGGACGGCGGCAGAGCGGCAGGTCCACCACTGACCGATGTAGTAGATGGAGCCGTTGGTGCCGCCGAGCAGGAGGAAGCTGCCGGCGCGGTCGAAGCTGGAGATGTGGCCCACCTCCTGCGCCTGCCAGTGGTGCGTCATGGCGTGCCAGACGCCGATCCTACCCACCGACGACAGCCCCACCAGCTGCGGCCCGATGAAGAACAGGTGCTCCACTGGTACGCCCAGGTTGAACTGGCCTGGGGCGCGGCAGGGGGGTGGTGTCACGAGCGGCACAGTGAAGCGCCAGGGGTACGACGTCTGGGGGGAGGACGGCGTCGAGAGACAAGTGGAGTCGAAGCGCGAATGCCTACCTCATATCGTCGTGACACAGAAAATATCAATGGTTTGCGCTCGCTTCGCTGCGCGAAAGGGCAATGCAAGTGGCGCAGGCATCACCGCCATCCGTGACGTAACGTTGAATCGTGTCTCAAAAGCGTGAAGCGGATCTCAGGTATCACTTGTAGCTGTTTTTCATTCCCGGATCACTTGGACGCGTTACCCGCGTAACACCGTTCCGCGCACTAAAGACAACAAAGGAACATTATCTAGTTGTGGTTTCAACTTGCAGAGAGACGGCTTGGTTGTTCCAAGACACATCTATACCCATCAACCGCCGACATGGTTCCAGGTTACAGTGTGAGGCCTGAACCGATGCCAGCCGCCCCACCGACCGCTCGTCGTGCATGGAGGAGCCGCTCCGACGGACCTCAAAACCCATCGCCCTCGCCAAGAGCCGGGAGGGAGCCTGGAGCCAAGGCACGCGCCACTCACCGACGTCCGACTTAGAGCCATCCTCGGAGATGCCCCAGCGGTGTGGACCTCAGTCCCCCGGCTCCCACCCCCCCCCCCCCCCGCCGGGAGCCGAGGCGCGCGCCACTCACCGACGTCCGACTTGGAGCCGTCCTCGGAGATGCCCCAGAGGTGGACGGTGCCGCCGCAGCTGATGCCCAGCATCTTGGTGCTGGTGTCGGCCACAGAGCCGTTCGGCACCACCTTGGCGTTGATCGCCACACGGTCTATGGTGGCCGGGATGTGCGGCGATGTGTAGAACAGGTGCCAGCCCGTGGAGTCCTTCATCCTGGACGGGTCCAAGCGATCACCTTAGCATTCATCCAATGCACCGTGAGATAGGCACTTACACGAACGCCATTGATTCCGTCACGTGTATCAAGTCTGGGAGAAAGGGTTACGCCTCAAGTCTGGGAGATGACTATGACCACCTGTTGGCAGTGATTCACACGCAATATGGGCTGGATACAGCCTCTTTAAAATTCACCGCAGCAAACAATGTGGCACATCTGCAACACATAACAGCCAAATGTCCGCGACTACCACCCGACAAAAAACAGAGCCCATGGCAGTGGGAGAGCTGTGGGAAAGGGACGGCAATCGCGTCAAGTGACCATGCACAACGATAAGTCAACAGTCCTGCCCGAATGACGTGAAACGGGTAATGCGATGCCGTCTGTCCCGTGCCCCGGGCCACGTGCGCCCGAATTCAACCCGGGCGGTCGATCACGTAACCGGCCGGCCGGTTGGGCCACAGAGCCCGACTAGGATTCGTGACACTTCAGTCGGAGTAGCGGCTGTCGGGCAACGGGAGCACCGGCAGTGAGGATATAACAGGAACGAGACCTTCAGAGCTTCCGCACATTCCGACGTCTTTCCGCGACAGGAACTTGGTCAGACCCGGACACCCGCACATAGCAACAGCACTCAAAAGCCCTCCTGCTCGAGGCGTCATAACCAGCAAGCACAGACACCGTGAGCTTATGAGAAACTTGACGCCCGTCCATCACGGTCCTCAGGCATGGGCAGTGTCCGTCACTGTCCTCGGGGATGGACAGCCCTCCTCGCAGTCCTCATGGATGCGTAGCGTCCGGCGTTGTCCTCAGGGATGGGCAGCGTCTATCGCTGTCCCCAGGGATGGGCAGCGTCTATCGCTGCCCCCAGGGATGGGCAGCGTCTATCGCTGTCCCCAGGCATGGGCAGCGCCCGTCGCTGTCCTCAGGCATGGGCAACATCCGGCGCTGTCCTCAGGGATGGGTAGCGTCCGTCGCTGTCCTCAGGGATAGACAGCGCTCGTCGTTGACCTCCCTCTCCCCTAAAAACGCCCCCCGGTGCCGCTGTGCTGGTACAGAGCACCGCACCCGAGAGCCTCCATTGTCCCCTGAGTACAAGCTCCACGAGGACGCCTTTCTCGCCACATCTCGCCACCGGGGTGGTGACCTACCGATAGCAGGAGACGTGGTGCGCGTAGGCGGCCACCAGCCAGTTGTGGTGTCCCCGGATGAGCCGCACGCCGGCCGGCTCGGCCCAGCCGCCGCCAGGCGGCGCCAGCAGCGGCCCAAGGTCGGCGCGCAGAAGGCGGCTCAGGTCGGCAGACGAGCTCCGCGAGTGCGCGTGGCGGAGGTCGAGCGAGCCGCCGCGAGAGTGGCCCGGCCGGGGCAGCGCCGCCGGCGGCCGTGGCGCCAGGCCGGCCACGAACCTGACGACGGATCGAGGGAGGGACGGTGAGAAAGCGTCGAGGCGAGGCAGGAGAGCGGGGGTCGGGTGGGGGACGCGGAAGCTGAGGAGGCCGCGAACCTGACGACCGATGGAGCGGCGGTGAGAGGGCGTCGAGGCGAGGCAGGACAGCAGGGGGTCGGGTGGGGGACGTGGAAGCCGAGGAGGCCGCAAACCTGACGACCGACGGAGCGGCGGTGAGAGGGTGTCGAGGCGAGGCAGGTCACGAGGCCAGGGACGGCGGGGGTTGAACGGGGGACGCGGAAGCTGCGGAGGCCACGAACCTCCCAGCGGACGGAGGGACGGTCAGACAACGGTCAGGGCTAAGTCATGACTCGAGAGCCTGCCAGATGGGGGAGTTAAATAGGGATGTGTTGAGGGGACAAGTCGAGAGCCTGACTGCAGGGGAGAGATGCTCAGGTGGCAGGAGTGGTGGTGACGAAGAAAGTAGTGAAGCGCAACAACTGCCAACCCTCTCACTTGCAGAAGTGAGATGCAAGGGCAGTGGGCCAGAGCGGGAAGACACATAATATCAGGACCAACAGTGGATGTGGTGTGACTAGGCGTGATTATGGTTATCGCTTTTACTCCTAGCTGAAAGCCGTACAGGTGACTAATGCGACGATGCAGTATGACAATCTGGTATACAGTGCAATACAGCTAGTTACAATACAAAACGACAAGAGCAAGTCTGTCCGTAAGTCAATGACAGTCAATCGCAGGAAGTCAGTTAAAACAACTTCCACGACAGCGAACATGGCTTCTATCGATGCTAGTCCAACCTGGGCGGTGCACGATCCGGACCAGTGAGCTCATCAATGACCGAGAGCTGGGTCAACAGTGGTGAGTCACGTGACTCGTCCATGGCCACCGCATTGATCACGTGTCATAAAACTGGCCCAGGCTCAGCGGCTAACTGCACGCGGCCTTCGGTGATAGGCACACCGTGGACACGACCGTCGCCAGTGTCACTGCGTGCGAGTGAATGAAATTCTGTCGACCTCAAGTCATGGGGCTGACTATCTCCTAATGAATTTATCTGAGGTCATCATAGTGACCTGGGGTCATCATACTGATCTGGGGTCATAGTACTGACCTGGGGTTATCACACTGACCTGGGGTCATCACGATGATCTGGAGGGGGTCATCACAACGATCTGGAGGGGGTTACCACACTGACCTGGAGGGGTCACCACACTGACATTGGGTCTCCATACTGACCTAGTGCCATCACACTGACCTGGGGTCACCACACTGATATGGGGTCATTAAACTGACCTGGGGTCATTACATCAACCTGGTGTCACTACACTTACCCTCTGATGACCTCCGCCATGGCAATCCAACTGACCCGACAAAACCAGGGCGTCTTTAGCTTATATAACACTCCTGTGGTCCCCAGTCTGATCCACACCGGTCACTAGTCTGACCAGACAGTGCGGTGGGAAGCCCGCAGCGGGCCGACTGACCTCAGGTCGGCCGAGGACTGCCGGGAGTGGGAGCGCGGCGTCTCCGGCAGGCGGACGATGGAGCCGGGCCGGACCGCCGCCGCCGCCTCCAGCTGCTGCTCCTGCTGATGCGGCGACGGCGGCAGCGCTGCCGACCGGGACCGGTGCGGCGTCGTCAGCCGGGCGGCGGCCATCGCGGCGAGCACCCGACACGGGAGACACCGGGGAGGGCCACGGCAGTACGCGAGGCACAGCAGCGGCTCTTGACGGTCCGCCTCAAAGGCACGCCTTTGTCCAATGACAACGATTGGGGACGAGGGACGAGGGAGGGACGATCACAACTTTCGTTACAGCCGATCGATACTCAGCCTTACACTCTGGCAGCCGTCACCGTTAGCTAAGACCCCCTCTCACGTCGCGCCGAACACGAGACTCCTGATCAGTCTCAGCAGGTCGGTGTGACATCACACAGCAGTGGCCCTGATCAGCCCCGCCGGCGTGGGGCGGCGCCCGCCGGCGCGGGTCGGCGCAGCACACTGACCGGCCGGCGGCAGCAGGCCGTGGAAGAGCACGCTGCCGCAGGTGGGCGCCGCCAGGTCCTGACACAGCGCCAGCCGCCTCACCAGCGGCTGCAGCCCGTAGAACTCGGCCTCGTGCCGCAGCGCGTCCAGCTCCAGCGCGCTGCCGGCCGGTCACGGCGGCGTCAGGAGAGCGGGCCACACAGGGCGCGGCACGTGGGCGGCACCGCCACACGGGCGGCCAGAACGCGCCATGCAGGACGACGTCGGCATGGGTGTTGCAATCTACATCGATCGGAGCATAATTATTGTAGCGTGATTTTGACGATGGCGTGAAGCATGCCACTGTGACAACGGTTGGCTTTTTTGCGCGGACGGTGCACACGCGGTGCTGATCGATTGACAAAAAAAGAGCTGGCTCGTCCCTGGGCCCGACTTGGCCATCACCTGTTAAGTGGCATGATGAACAGGAAGTCGAACTCTCGCAAAGGAAGTTACAATGCATGGTGCGCTCATCGAAATGACGCAGCACATCTATACATTTCGGACGTTAAGTGCATGTAGGTAGCTCACCTTAGGTCAATGTCCCTGGTGCGCAGGTAATTGAGGATGACGCGGAACAGCTTTGGGTCACGATCGATGAAGATGGCGCCGGTTTCATCGCGCATGCTGGAGATCCTGCCACTGAGCAGGGCGGTGAAGAAGGTGTCTTGGATCCAGGTCAGCGTCTGTCTGGACGTAGAGAACCTGCCCAGCCGCGGCCCCCAGTCAGAATCGGTGCCGCCGACGAGCACGCAGGACGTTCTTTTATTTAAAACAATACACGCAATAGCACCATTACAGAAATGACGCACAGAAAAATGCTCTTGACCTTGCAGCACCGACACACGGGCTGAGAGTTTACGCGACAAGTTTTGTAAATGGCCAGCAGAAAAGCCCAACACACAGCAATTCATACCACATATGGATAGAAGGACACATAAATTGGTAATGCTAATTTACATAGAGAGTTAATGTTGATGTATCACTGTCCACTCCTAACATGCTAAACAAACAAAAGGAGCATGGAGGTAACAGTGTGCATCATTGCAACAATGTACATGGAAGTTTCATGAAACTTATGACACACAACTTACCTGACACCCCCCACATTGAGATTGATAATTTCTGAAAGGCTTGCCATTGCTGAATAGTCACTGAAGCAAATCCTGGAACTGAATGCATGACAAGTTCACACCACTGATTGCCATGATGCACACAACACTAACTCAGTTTGTGAAAATAATATGACATTCACTTGCTGAAATGCATAGGTGCTGCAGCCTCTCTGATAACAGCTGAGCTTCACATAGGTAAGCAGAGCTTGTGTGCTAGCCATGCCACCCAAGGCAACATACCACACACACACACAAACTCAAAGCTCACTGCATTTCAGGACAGCCAATTGTGCAAACTGCTGAGATTATGACTCAGTGTAGGACATTGTGCTTCAGAAGAGATACATGAACTTAATTCCTACAGCACAGACCTGTTTGCTTTTGGAAACCTGTAGGCTAGGATATAAGCACATGTGAAAGACAGGTTTGGAGCAAAAGTGTTCAGCAGACTCAATCCCAACTGCTGCCAGCACCAGCAGTAGTAGGAGGGTAGCTGTAATGTACATTTTCCTCTTTTTTCTACTTTGTATCCACCTCATCATGGTGAAGGCCAAAACAATATGCCACCAATGCTTCTGATTTTTGCACTGGCCTACCATTCTCCAACAGTAAGCAGGTCAGCACTATGAGGGCTTAATATCATTTGCCTATTCCAGGGCTTATTGTGCATATGATTAAAACAAAAGTTGTGCCTTACTGAAATGTTGTGAACTCACAAGACATGCAACCTTTTTTGAATGGTAGGGCTTATAAAGATAAGGTTTTTGCCCCTACAAATCACAAATGCATGCAATATTGTGACTTTTATAAGCTGCTTTCAACCAACACTCTGGACTAACACAATATCAATGTCTGTGATATGGTGACTTGGGATCTGTCCTCAGCCAATGCCTTTGACTAAAATATGCATAATTCATTATCACTACCTAAGTATCACAACACACTCCAGCTCCATGGTATTCAGGAATTTATTATCACATAATCTAGTGTAAATGCAAAACATCCAGGACAAATGACAGCACCAATGAATCACCCAGACATATTGTCATGAACACTTACTGAACAAGGTTTAATTGCACCCAGACCTTTTACAGCTCTTGTACAGACCTTAGTAGAATGTCCAGAGCCTATTGAGTCTTATTACTGATGTAAAACACCCTCATACTGCTGTGCTCTGCATAACAAACATAGTCTTGGCAGCAGGATGCACCCCACCACAGCAGGCAAGTGTGCACATGAACCCCAGTGTTCTTGCTTGGGTCATGGGCAGCCAATGACACTGTACAGGGCAATTGCCTGCCCGCTGTACCAAAATTCAATATTAGCTCCATGGGGCTGCAGTGGGAAGAACATGAGAACAACCTGTGTATTCCCTATCCAGTTCAATGTAATGAGGCCCCATTGCCAAGTACTTGGGCTTCCAGCTTCTAGAAATACAGAATATTTTGCTGAAATATGATGCCACTCAGGGTACTATGTAGACACATACTCCATGCCAGCAAGTACAACATGCTTTGCATTTCTCAAGACTGCACAGCATGTAATCTATATGAAAAGGTTTTCTTCTTTGAATACTCATGTATAAGTTCACAAGCACTCATGTAGATAAGCTTTGACAGGCATGTATTTCAATTTCATGTACAGTTTTATAAGATTAGTTCATAGTTATCACACCCAATAAACTAATTAGGTATATATGCATATACATACAAGTGTGTGTGTGTGTGTGTGTGTGTGTGTGTGTATACACATATTCACACAAATGATTTGCCATGGATAAATCCTGCTAATGCTATGACAAGTATTTAATGCCTCTTTTTTACAGCTTGCAGCCAATGATTACTTAGGGCTCTCTATGATGCATATCACAATAGCAGAAATAGGAATGTGACCCACATCATAAGGCACAATGATATAAACATAATGAGTTATGATGCTTCACCATACAAAAATATGGTAACCATGGTCTATAAATTTAAGGCTGGGCATCCAGTGCTTTTGGTTTCATGCATAATCATTCAGCAGCTTGAAAGTTTTGCAGGTAGAACACAATCAAAATAACCAAAACCCATATGTCCTAAGCCTACACATGCTGTCAATAAGCCTGGGCATCTAAATGCACCCACTTGAGTGCTTAACTTTTGTTGAAAAGTGATGAAATGTGTTGCCAAGATAAATTTCCCAGTTACAGGCACTGGCAGTCTGTGTTCTGGAACTACTCCTGTCACAATAAGCCATTGCTGGCACAATGTAAGCTGAGCTATAAGATGACAGCCAATATGTCTCTTGCCTGGAATTGGCTGCATACCAGTATACATATCATAGCAAACATGCAAATGAAATGTTTGGGGCAGACAGAATCCTGCCCAAGAGAGGATAATGAGTTGCCCCATTTAAGGCAGATTTTGTTAATCTTACTTATCCCCAGAAACATGATGTAATATCAAATTTGGTCATTTTCAATGATCTTATTAGGCTCTGCATAGTGGAACACATTATGATGACCAAATCAGTCCGAATTCAATAATTTCTGCCCCATCAATTTGATGGGCTCTTTCAAAGTGGAAGTTGTGCTTCACCGATGTTCCAATGAGATACTCTCAAACTATCACATCTTGATCAATAGGCTGTGTGGTTTCATTTGCCATATACTATAACCATGTCCCTACGTTTCTCAATTGAAAACAAAAAAATTCAGCGAGCCGAAAAATATGTTAAACAGTTCGAGGGAAGAACCGCACCACTGGACTTTACGTGCACACCGTACATCAAGTCTTGAGCAGCGAAACCAACTAATTCTGCAGTGATGTTTGCAACCGATTATCCAGCACTGAATGCATCCAGTTGCCTCACCCCCCCCCCCCCCCCCCACTTACCTTTGCTCACACAAAATGTAGCCCAATGCTGAGTGGAGTGTTTCATTCCCCCTTCTGCTTCAAAACAAATGAAATCCTAAACATATGACAAATATAACGTACAAGAGACACCCTGCTACCAAATTTAGTCTTCGGCATAATTACTGGATATGGCAGTGATTTTTTTGAAAATTTGTGCGCCAACTTTTCTGTGGTTGGTCCGTGGTGTGCTGTGTTCAACCTCTTACAAGTCGTACGTTGCATCAAAAGGTTGCTCGGGGTGCGGATGACTGGTTGCGGATTGTCACGTGGGTCATGTCATCTACGCGATACAACGCCCGCTGGTCCCCATGTTGTTGAAGCGAGGCCATTTATACGTATTGAGTTGCATGCATGTTTTGTCACCTTTGCGCCATAAATGACGTACAAGTGTGCCTTATTTATCTCGTAGAGGTAAATCGGTACGGGTTATATTTGTTCTGAACGTTCATTGTGGTGCAATCATTGCAACGATGCGGTCCGGTGTGGGCAAGAAGGTGTTTATGCAATATATATGAGAGCTGCTTGTGTTGTGTTGCAGTGCATAGCAATAGAGGGCTCCAGGCATTGTGCAAGAACCAAAGCCTATTCCAAAGCATCATCTGGCGGGGTGCTGAAGGACTGCAAGGAAGGTGGTGTCCAATCTCAAAAGGCAACAGGGCATCATTAATTTTGTAAGTAATTTCCAGTGGTTAAGCAAGATTCTATACCTTTCACCTCTTTTTGCCTCACCAAGTGCATAATTGTGCTATTGCCAATAGTGTGTTCACCGAGCTTTATGGGCATGCCCACAGTTGCATTCTAATTTATGAATTCTGTAGTGACCAGGCTTCACATTTAGCTACCTATTGGTTCCCTGTTGTGATACACTGAAGGTTGGGTTACATTAAGAAACCTCCATAGGTGTTCCAGTGAGCATATTTTTTCAGGCTGCTTGATGGCAGCAAATGGAAGATGTGCATAAGGAGTAACATTCATAACTGTTTTCTTGAAGCTTCAATGACAGGACATCATTTTTACATGTCTTTATGAAAATGTCTGAGGACCACTTCCAGCAAAATACATATTTAGTTGTGTTTCATGCACTGGTTGTGCATTACCATCTTGTCGCCATTAATCTGAAAAAGCTTCAGAACATTTCACCAGTGAATGTTTTTAGAATTTGGTTCACTGTTCAATTTTTCATGGTCTTTGCAGTGCTATAGTGAATGCATTCATACAGTATGTTGTTACCCATGCATGAGGTGTCATGGGCTATGGATTTTCTCTGATGCCAGCTTCATGTACCAATGTGTCTGGTCATAATGATGTTTAGATGACATGGTGTTTCTTGTTAATGATTCTTTATTATTTACCTTGAGTCATATTCTTACAAATATGATTAAAGGTAAATATGAGTAAAAGTAAGCCCAAATACCAAAAACCACTTGGAAATAGATATATCTGTAATTGACCCATTAAAATGTGTGCCATTAAAATTCACCAAAATGCTAGGAAATAGTTAGCTTGTGTTATTCTAGTGCACAAATGTAATGCTTTTAGTGGTGTGGAGTAAGCAGGATAAGGTACATTATCATGATTTAGCCTGAGATTTCTTCAAGTCTTATCAGTCATAACCATGCAGGTATGCACACCTAAGATAATGGAGCCAGGCTGCTTTAGGTATAAATACAACTGGCTATGAATAGAGCTTTAGAAGAACTGCTTGATCTGTTCTGATCTGATCTGGTCTTCTGAAGGCACTGTACAAAGGTGTGAACAGAAGTTTCGTGATGTGACCTGCTGATTCACAAGTTACATTTACTTGGAAATTGGTTGGTTGCTTTGGTTATCAAGATCTGACATCAGTTGCTAAAAACACTGGAAAACATATGAATCTGTGTTTTGCACATGAAACTACATGACTGGCTGCAGCATTTTATTCATATTCTGGGGTTTCTCTAAAAAATTTGCTGATATACTGATCCTGTTAGTGGTTGCCAAATGCTGAATAAAGCAATGTTTGGATGTTTCACAAGTGAAGCAAATGATCATGTTGATGATCACCATCATTTCCTGGTGCATTACACTTTTTAATACTAGCATTCCAAAGTGGTCATTAATTAGTTGCCCTACAGTTACTTCAAAGCTTAATGTGACACATTGATTGACACCATGTGGTACCATGGGACACAAAGGTTGAATGGCTGTCTTCATTTACAGCAGTGATATTTTACTGCAAATGACCAGCTGATCATTGAAGATATTTGGACATCATCTGGTGTACTGCCTAGTCCATAATCCCAAGACAGGCTAGAGTCTGCCACCAACTGAAAAAATGTGTGCTTGGTGACATCACTCCATCTATGGTGCTCACTGCTCTCTGACTGCCTTGCTGCTGCCACTTATGATCTCCCTTTCTTCTGGAAAATGAAATTATCATTAGACATCATCTAGTTCATTAAAATAGTGGCACCAGCCATCGACAAGACCCACTAGACAGCCGTCGGCGTCGAGTGGCGCCTGCGCGCTGCATGCGGTGTCTGACGGCGCGCCGTTGCAGACATGATGTCGCTGGGCCGGCTGACGCTGGGCGTGTCTGCTGGGCTGGGCGGCTGGCTGGCCGGCTGGCTGGCGGGCCGGGCCGAGCCGGTGCGCCGCGCGCCTCCCGGCCACCCGCTGTTCGGCACCGTGTCGGCCGCGCTGCCCATACCGAGCGACGCGCAGGCCCCCGACGTGCGCGCCGACCAGCAGCCGGCCAAGAACGCCGGCCGCGTGGCCCAGGTGGGTGGGTTGGCCGGCGTAGAGCTCGGATGGGGTCGGCTGCGCCTGCCGCCGAGCAAGGTCACAGGCTGGCCAGATAGCACAACTGGAGGATGAGTCCTGTGGTGTGGATGTTCGGTGGTTTTGAGTGACCTGGGTGGCAAGTGTGCCTGTGATTACTGTCAGGATGTTGTCATATGGTGCAATGCAATTTATGTGGAAGAAGATTAACCAGTTCTTATTCAGAAGTGTAGTATATGCCACTTCTGTCATCACTTGTCATTATTTTGTATGGTATCAGAGCACTTTCTGCATTGTAATTCAAAAGTGTTTTGCTTTATAAAAAAGTTTAGTAACCACAAGACTTGACACATAAAGATAGTACCAAGAACAAGACACATGTCACAATTGTAAGGCTTTCTCGGAGTCCGTTTTTCAAGTTGTTTCAGGCTAGACAAATTCAGACTCATCCTTTTTTTTGGATCAAGACTTTTTGAAAAGGAGCTTCAAACATGCTATGTGGAGTGTTGGTGGACTGTTAAATGTTTCATTTTAGATAATTGGCACTGCATAAGCTTAGAAGTCAATTGTCCTAATTGAAGTCTCCCTTTAATATGCTGCAAAACCTGGTTGTTGTGCTTGTTGAGATCATGAACTCATGCACCAGCTTTGCTCCCAATCAAAGTAAACACCCATGCATCTTTTTAGCATGTATTTCAATATTAAGTATTTCTGTTCCATACATCACATAAAGCTCCACTTTTAAGCTACTGGTACATTGAACACAGCTTGCTGTTCATGCTACATGACTTACCAGTGTTACAAGCTATTCTACAGTCATTTCTGCCATGTGACCTAGCTACACATACTTTGGTAGAATGCCTTTCCACCATCTGCTGTCTTTACTTCACATTTTACATGCAACTACCATTACAAATGCAAACAAATACTCTTCAACACCTTAGGTGGATGACCTGCATCATGAATGCAGCTTATTCTGGAAGCACTCCTACTTGTAACTGCCAGTTCTTTACATGTTTTTTTTCCCAAGCTCACACTAAGTGTGCGGAGGAACCTTGTTGGCAAGAGTATTATCATTCAGAAGGTTCTGCGATGATGAGAAGAATGGGCGCAGAGATGGCTTTGGTATGGAGGTGATGCTCACTGTATCCATTTCTGGTCCAGAGTCAGACACATACTCAAGCTCATTCAGGAAGTCATCCAGCTCTCCAACTTCATTGGCCAACTTTGGATCAATGTCCTGGTCCTGATCCAGTCCCTGAAGGTCCTCTGAGACCTTGAATCTTTTCCAGATGGTCATGAACTTTTCCTTCAAGTTCCTCTGTCTCATGTTTGACCCAATGTGCTTGATGGATGGGGGCTTTCCTCTGGAATCCAGTACAGGCTCAGAGTCAGAGCCCTCATCATTGGTGCTGTACTCCTCTTCTTCTTCAGAGTCATACCGATATGGTGTGTCCATGTTCTTTGGCATATGCATGTCATCCTGCTCCACAGGCTGGCTGACCAGTGACTCCATGGTCAGAATTGCGGCCAGGTTTTGACGCTCTTTGGGGTCAGAGTACAGCCTCAGGTCCTTATCAACAGATCTTTGCAAAATTTGTGACATATTTATCACACCCACAGCCAGAGTTTTGAAACCCAGAATGGTACGGTTCTTGTAGCGCTTCCGTCTTTGGAGCATGATCTGAAGCTTGTTACCCTCTCCTTTCAAATAGTGAGGGTACTGCATTGAGAAAGTCAGATCCAGCTCAGTGTCCAGGAGTCCTGTGGGCTGCAGTGGGATCTCATTTGAGCGCAGAGTTCTTTTAGCGCTCTGCATCTTGACAGCAATCAGGAGCGACCCCAGATCAGAGCTGAATGGTCGCACAACATTCAGGCGAGCAAGTTTCAGTGTGCATTGTCTTGCAATGCAGATAGGTGATGTCCGCTCCACTTCCCAAGTTGCAAAAAGCCTCATGGGCGTGGGCTTCGCACTAGCGTTGGAAGGGGCCTTGGAAGGTTTCTCTGCCATCTTGATGGTATGGTTCGTCCAAATTTATAAGAAGGAAGACCAGGGATGTGAAGAGACGCACGTATTGCCTACTTCGCCAGCATTTAGACAAAATTCGCCCTCACTTGCGGCGACGCCCCACCCGCCACATTCTGCGCGTATCACGGGCTGATCAATGTCGAGCCGTGCGCAGACTGGATTTGTTTTGGTTGAATGGGTGCGGCTGGGCAAAGAGCACGTGATCAAATGACGTCATATACATTGTGGTGGACATGTAAGGGAAAATTATAAAAAGTGTAAGTTGTCTTGAGTTTTTCACTTCATTGCGTTTCAGTGATAATGAGGAAGCCAGCTTTTTTTGAGTCGTTTCAGCGTGCTTGAGTGTGAAATATTTGTTGTCATGTGACCATTTACTGGCCGTTATGTTAAGCTGCGTCGGTTTTGGCACCCGGCCGAAATCTGGCAGCATAATGATGGGAGTAGTTGCGTAGTATGTTTTTTTGCGTGTGGTACAAAATATGCTATAGTGCGATACAAAATATCCCGGCGTGGACTAGGCTCCTCAGCTGCGCACCAGTGACCGAAGAGGGCAGATTTGCCTCCCTCTCGCTTATCAAGAACGGCGGCCCAGATTCAAAAGTTTAAATTGCAATCGAAAGCGCCGTGGTGTGCGGTCTCAGACCACACAGCAAATTTTAGTTGAAGGATGCGTTAAGGTCGTAGGTCCAGGTCAAAGTCCAAAAGTGTTTCCTTGGGATATCTGACCGCTCCCACAACGCATTACAGTTAGAAACGTCTCTTATGATGTGAAATCATTGCGCCCTGATCAAACATAAGATATAAGAATGTATCCTTCACTACATAACAAGGTATCCGGTGGTACGCGCGGCGTACCGGGCCAAAAGCCAAGGTGGCGTGCTGTGAGAGCTGAGACCTTGGTCTTTGTGTATATTTCGTTCTTTTAGTCCGTCATTTGTGTCATATCATGTCATTATCTGTGATTGGTCTATTTGTTTTTATTTCTGTTCTATCAAAACGCAAGGTGGAGAGGTTTAGCCGCAATTATGGGTATCAGACACGTGAGCAAGACCTATTTCTTGTTCATAAACCGTCTAAGGTCGAGGTCACATGGAAGACCTCGGTGGCGAATAAGCGGCTGGGCTGGTTTCGCATTGTTTTCGACGGTTTCTTTATGCAGGCAGCGCTACCTGAGGCCATCTAACTCCGCCACCAGTCACGTGGTCGTCGGTTGGGGTGTGGGCGTGCACCTGACAAACGGTTTTCTCCGCCCCGGTATCGCCGGTCTGTCGGTCCGACCGATCAGTAGTCATCCGATAACCCATCGGTTGCCAGGCTAGAGATTGGGTATCCTCGGTTTCTTGCGCGCGCGCGGACGTCAGGGCTATCAGTTTGTGCGCAATTGACGTGTGGAGGCTTACATAAAACTGGGACTAACGGGTTTCGCGTAAGGGCGATGAGCAAATGCTGACCTTGTTTGCTCAGTTTTTGCTGCATGACGGGGTACAAACAAAAACCGTACGTTCTCCTTTGGGCCGGTCACGAGTAAATGTATGAACCATATTTTTTTCCGCGGAGACCTATGGGGACCGGGCTATTCAGCACATTTTGTGGATGTCGAGCAGATGCTAACCGGCTTTTGCCTCACTTTTCGCACGGCAACGATCATAAACGGACACCGCTCATTTTTGTCAGCTGACCTCGGTGAAACGATGGCATTTATGCGGTTTTCACGCGGCGACTAATGCAACACTGAGGCACAGTGTGGTTCATCATGCGGACAATAAGCACAATCAACATCACCAGAAGGGCGGAGCCTTGGACCAGACCTGACCGTGGAGGGAGGGTAACCGGTTGACCCAAAAGTTTTACGGTTGGCTTTCTCTTACGACAAGATAAGTGCACACGATGAGCATGACCACTGTTGTGTGGCATGTGTGATACTGGATCGTGAGACGAACACTGGTTGTCACACAGTCAGACCAGTTCATGAATTTCATCAGACCAGTTCAAGACAAGACGGGAAGTTCAAGGGAGACGACTCGTCAGCCGCGGCGGCGCAAATGTGTGAATCCCCTAATTTGCCAGTGCACACAACTGCTCACCAACACTCACGCATGCCTGGTTGGAAGCCCTGCGGCGGGAACTCAGTCCGGCGCCGGCCCCTGACTGCTGACTGCTGACTGCTGACTGCTGACTGCTGAATGCTGACTCTGAGCGGCCCGCGGCCTGCCCGGCAGATCATGCGCTTTGGCTTCCCGGGCCTGGACAACGTCCGCTCCCAGAGCGACTACGTGCTGTCGTACGACCGTCGCGCGCGCGTGCCGATGTGGGTGTTCGAGCACCTCACGGCCGAGAGTGTTCGCCGCAACGACGAGGTGGACCGCGCCGGCTGCGAGTTCGTCGCCGACACCTCCGTCCATCCGTACTTCAGGTGAGCGCCGCAGCGTCGGCCGGTCGCGGCGCGGGACCGGGCCACGAGCCTCGGGCTGGAAGGGAGGCAACAGCCGCCGGTAGGTCGGTCCAGGACTCGGCCCGTGCAGAGATCCTCACGTAGCGATAGTCACGTAGTCATGTAGTAGGTAGTCGTAGTGATGTGCACTACGAAGTGTCGATCTGCGCTGCGGCTCTGGCTCACCAGTGATGCTGGTGTGACGGGATTGGCTGCGGAGATTGGGTCCAGGGCGCGGGCGCCGTCTACCCGAACATCAGCTCGGAGGACAACCGTCATCCGTCCTTGCGGTTGCGTCCCTGATGTCACAGCCAACGCGCCAGCCGACAGCTCTTGTCAGTACGACGATCGATGCTTTCGGAAGTTGCCGGCGTACCGCTGGCTACTTTCATCCTGTTAAAGTTTGAATTCCCGCTGACCACACTTCTTACGCGTTATTAGGCACAGGGCGCTGTGGCCTTACTGCGGGCTGTAACTGGGATGCAACTAGAGAACGCATGTAGGTCAGTCATTCAAGACACGCTAGTTCAGAGGTGGTTCGAATGATGCGTTTCTCTGGTCTCTTTTCTTCGTTCGAGCCCTTCGTTTGACATGGCAGCGGTGGTACCGTAGCGCGCGAGCCGAACAATATTGCACGGAACTCCGTGTCCACCTTCGCTCGATTGCTCGGAGCTGCAGACGGATTAGCATGTGATGTCTGGGACGCGAATACAAATGCATGCGATGTATGCAACGCGATGTCACTGAGTGGGGGAGCAATGGTCTTATCCGACTGTTTTGCTGCGACCTGACAAAGCTGGAGGGTGTCCCGAGATGACTCCACCAGGCGGTGAGACGCAAACTCCCGATTAGTATTATTAATATGTTTGAGCTAAGGAGGAAATCAGTCATAAGACTCTACACAATGGAAGTTGGCTTACCGTCAGCAACCTACATTAATATGCACTGCAGGCACAACCTACACACTTGGGGTCTGCACCGAACCTTTTTTTGTGGCTCAGTGCATCTGGTGTCGTGCTGCTGCACGGTGCTGCGACGGTGCGATGGACGGTGTGATGGATGCGGTGACCCTGGTGACCCGTGTGCGCAGGGCGGACAACAGTGACTACAAGGGGAGCGGGTACGACAGAGGTCACATGGCGGCGGCCGCCAACCACCGGCGCAGCCAACAGGAGCAGCAGGAGACGTTCCTGCTCTCCAACATGGCACCGCAGGTCAGCAGCGGCAGCCGCCCGTCACCTGCGCTGGTGATGAGGATGACAATAAACAAAGGGTGTGGTCGTGATATCGACTGTGGCGATGATGTTAAGTGGTCTCACGCTCAGCGTGGGTTTCTTATGCGAACGCGCGAACACGCGTGAACGCGCGTTGCCTTGGTGACGCCGGGTTGCACTTGTGCAGGAGCGCATGGGGTACTAGTGCAGCGCTACGGGCGTTGCAGACGCCAGACAGCGCGGTGACATGCGGCGCGCCAATCGAGCAGAGGCTGTTACAGCCCGCGCGTCACCGGTCTGACCTGAACCGGTGCGGCCACGTGCCCGCGCGCGGCCCGTCCCGCCGCTCGGCGCTCGACCCGTCCGGGCCTGCCCTCTGGTGGCCGCTGTCCGCCCGGCACGCCAGCGGCCCGTGCACTTTTGCTTTTTCTCGTGCGGTTTGGAGCTACTGCGGTGAAGACAAGGCAGTGCTTCGTGACCGCTCGCCATCGCCAGCCCGAGCTCAGCGCCCGCGCTGTGACCCCAGGTCGGCGTGGGCTTCAACCGCGACAAGTGGAATGACCTGGAGATGCACGTGCGCAAACTGTGCAAGGTGTACCCGAACGTGTACGTCTGCACGGGCCCGCTGTACCTGCCCAGGTACGTCGGTGGTGGTCTGACCAGCGTGTGTGGGCAGCGGGACTGTCGCCTACTGCGGCAGCCCTGGCACCAGTTTGGGGATGGGGACTGCTGCCGCTGCGTCGGATTGCGGAGCATAGGAAGGTAAAGGGTGCGATATGTCGGGTATCCCCATGGAATGGGATCAAATGATTTATTTGCTAACTTAAAAGGGACTGTAGGTAGGTTTGATTTTGCAGTATTCTTACTGGCGAGGTCGGTGACGCTCGATATAAGCTAGGAAGGCCTCGTGCTCCTGTTTTGGGTACGTGTTTGGGGGGGGGGAGGGTATTGTTAGTTGAGAACGACCCCCCTCAGTTATTTTTCAACATAATAACCAATTAAAACCGAGCCAACCTCGTTGTATTTTACGTCACAACGGAGCATCACGCGTGCCGGCCGTCTGCAGCCGAGAGGCGCCGCGGGGGCCTGGGGTGACGTCCAGTCCCGCCGGCAGGCGCGAGGCCGACGGCCGGCTCCGGGTCAGCTACGAGGTCATCGGCAAGAACCAGGTGTCCGTGCCGACCCACTTCTACAAGATCGTCGTGGGCGAGACGGTGGCCGGCGCGCTGGAGCTGGAGGCGTACGTGATGCCCAACCAGGTCATCCCCAACGAGGCGCCCATCACCAACTACCTGGTGCGTGGTCCCGGCCGGCCCGCCTCTCCGCGACGGCGCCGGGCGACCCTGCGGACCTTTTGTGTCACAGTTTGCTTATCCTTGTTGGTATTTGCGGCAATGCAGGCCCAGGTTTGCCTGAGCGCAGTATCCAGGAACACTATCCATGGACGCAGGAACACCCAGGAACACTAGGCCTGTTACCACCTCCGATGGCACCCGGGGATAAACGCTGACACCGAGCACTGTCCCATATTTGTTATCGGTTTGGAGAGTGACACAGCGGAATGCGTTTCTACTCTCATATGTGCCTTTTCATATTCACTATTTGCTCACAAAAATTGCCGAATTGATGCTACGTGGTGGAGCGTGGCACGGTCATGCCGGACCAATGTACGTAGCTGTTCGTACTCTGGCTTCGACAGTCGGCGCGGGCCGAAAGTTGCCACATTATTTGGCCGCGTTTTTGGACGGTTTTGGAGGGTGTGAGCGAGCACCCCATTCGCGGAGTGTTTGGGAATTATTTTAATAGTGGATCGCAGAAGGCACACTGTGTTGCAAATTCATAATCCCGTGTGGTTGGCAAGTGAAGAAAAAGTGACATTTGACTGAAGAGCATTCTGGAAAAATGACTGATGTGCTTTCAGGAGCTGTCTGCTTTCTATCCCATGGTATCTTGCTTTGGTTTGCTCGGGCTCCACTCCGACATTTTAATTTATATTTGATTCCGGAGCTCCGTTCTTCAGTCATCCACCTGTGCAGTGTGACCTCCACTGACCTTCAACCTCGGCTGACCTCCGGTGACCCTGAGGTCAGCCAAGGTTGTCTCCTTTGACCGGCCTCCTTTGGCTCTGGTGTCCTCACCTGACCCACACTGACCCCCTGCTGACCTGTGATCTCGGGTGACCTCGGCGGTAGTGACCTCTGGTGACCTTGGCTGACCTGTACCAGGTGCCGCCGGACGTGATCGAGCGGGCGGCCGGCCTGCTCTTTTTTGACCGGATGGACAGGAGCCGGCTGATGCGGGTCAACGGCCGCAAGACCACCTGGCTGTGAGGAGGGCGGCGCGCGACCCTGCGGCCCTCCCGGCTGTCGGGGCGTGCCCTGCGGCCGGTCCTCCGGCTGTGGCGGGCCGTCGGCTGTAGGCTGCTGGGTGTGGCTCACCTTGACCGGCCGCCAGCGTGGTGGAGTGTTCCTGGCAGGGATGGGGAAGTGACCCAGTCTTTCGGACATCCGGCAGGGAGGCGTGTGATGTTAACGGTGTAAGTTCTACCAGCCGCCCACGCGGGCGCCGACCCTGGTAGTCGTGACGGCCGTCACAGTGTTGAGCGGGTCAGCACAGGTGATATGCAGACGCCCGGTTTGTTTTAGTGTGCTTTGGAACACCCTAGTCCCTGAGTGATTTATGTTGGAGGACGATCGATGGCATCGGATGGGTCTTGCGTGGCTGGTGTTTTCGAGTTTGCAGGCATGCCCGGGGTCCCACCACAGACCCCCGTGCCATGAAAGGTTTTTTACTGTTGTGGTTTGCAGACGACTGTTATGAATTACGGCATTGTTGTGACCATCAGTCGCATTGTTGTTCCACAATCAAATCTGTTAAACACGAATTTTTAATGAGAGGTGATCTGTACTGATAGCTGTGTTCAGACCAACTTGTTGCTCATATCCCAATTGCGACGCGACATTGGAATTTTGAATTGTTTCACAGAGGCGGTTATGTAGTGCGTTTCAGATTTCAATACAGCGGCATTTACCCAGGAGCGGCAGCGTGTTTGCCCTCCTTGTGGGAGAGCCACCCCAGCCTAACCAGGTCCGACAACGCCGCAGTGTAGGATGCCGTCGCTGCGGCATCTGGAAATGCGTATTTTGAATGACGTGTGTATGTCCCCCGTCTGCATGGGCAAGATCACGGGCGTGGGAACAGGAAGCTAAGGGTCCGTGCCTCCCCACTTTTCAGGGACGGGGCAGCAGTATTGATCCCCCCCCCCCCCTCTCTCTCCACACGCGCGCACACACACACTTAGATTTAATTTGTGCTAGCTCAGTTCTATGCTACCTTACACATGCTTGCCAATTTACCTAGCACACTAGCTACCTGGCTCAAATCGCACTTGACGCTCTGAGTAAACCGAATATGAATCCAGAATTAACCCAGCATTGGCTTAGCAGATAAAGTGCACCACACTAGCTCCTCAAGCATCAGTCATGTGACACTCAACCGTTTCAAACGTGCGGCAGGGCGCCGGCATTGTCGACGTTGCGACGGTGACCACTGCTGCTGACAGCGCCGATCAGAAACGTTCAGTTTGTGGGAGGCCCTCCCGAACGATTCCCGTTTCAGGCACATGGGTTTATCAGGTGCGCTCGCCGGGCAGGGGCAAGACAGTGCAGCACCATGCACCATGACCGCCACACAGAGCATGGAGTGGGCTTGTCTAGCTGTTATGATTCATCATTCTGTCAGCATCAAGTAGATTGTGACAAACGGCGAAGTTGAGACGACCAGTTTGTCGATGTCATCAGAAAATTTGGGCTGCAACCGTCGGGTACGTTTTGTTACGTGTCATCAAATGAATTGACATTGTCGCGCCGCCGTATCTTTGAGACCCTTTCGACTCCCGCCAACTGGCATCTGCCAGGTTAAGCAATCAGTTGTCTCAGGAGCCCAGCCCCAGGTGCAGTGTGGGAGGGGGGGGGGGGGGGGGGGGTCTAAACAACTAGGACACAGTTGCGAGAACCGGCATGCATATGGCTATGTGAGTCATGTTTACCTGATGATCGACCACCATATCACAAGCCTGGAACGGCTGAAAACCACACGGTCGGCGTCTGAGGAGTTAGTGCAATAAGTTCTGTCCGCAGAGGCGAAAGGTCGCTGAGCAGTATTGTTCATGTGACTGAACGTCAAACGCGAACTCGCAATGCAAAGCGTTGGCACGGTTTGTCAGCACAGTTTGTCAGTTTGTATCTGGGGCGCTTTATGGAACGCCTAAAAATTGTATATATATATATATATATATATATATATATATGTATATATATATATATATATATATATAGTGTGTGTGTGTGTGTGTGTGTGTGTGTGTGTGTGTGTGTGTGTGTGTGTGTGTGTGTGTGTGTGTGTGTGTGTGTGTGTGTGCGTGTGCGTGCGTGCGTGTGCGTGTGCGTGTGCGTGTGCGTGTGCGTGTGTGTGTGTGTATTTGTCAAAGAAATGAGGTAATTGTAATAACAGAAGGTATCCGCAGCCTGACAGGCATTCGAAATAACTACGGAAAGTTCCGTCAGCGTAATAATGTAATTTTGCACGGAGGCTAAACGGAAATTCCTCAAATGCCGGGCTACACTAAATGCCTACGACGGGTGTAAATCCGCAACTTCTATCAGAAAAGTGTGTACTTTCGTCCTACATGCAAAAGCAGCTCAAGTCGGCTACGTTGTAGGAAGGTGCAATGTAAGGGAAGATAATTCGGAAATACGCAGGTGTCCCATATGCTTTACACATCAATCATAAGCATGCAGCGCAAGGCGGTCTCACGGTCAGTCCGCAGGCAGACGTGCGGAGGATAGCCGGTGCTGGGCGGGGGTCGCCGACGGCGGACGGGAGAAGAGATCATGCCAGGAATATCCGACAGAAGGGCCTTCCTTTTGGGAGTTCTTTCTTACAGGTGAAACCCGGGTTTTAAGGCCTTTGTCATGTTGTTTTTGACAGGTAGCATTTGAAGCTTTCAGGTTTGTTTCTACCTGAAATACCCCGCCAAAGCTATCTCTTGAAAAGTAGTCGACGAAATCCCGGCGCCTGAAAGCTCTGGCGCACTATGGGACATGATTTGAATTCGAGGTTCGAACCATCCTGCGCCCAGTTCGCATTTTGACATCTAAACTGTAATGGCAGATGCTTCCCTAACTACGCAAAACGTCTAACCACTCCTGGAATTTCGCCCTCCAGGGAAAAAACACGTTGAAGTGGACGAATCACTTTGAGAAGCTGGTTAGCCATATTTTCGGAATGGTTCAGATGAGTTGAACAGGTCATATTGTGCACCAGTGAAACACTTCTCCTTCCCCCCGCCCTGCCCGGTCGCCGGACCTGCCTCCCCCTAAAAGTTGCCTGGCTCCCACACTTTGAAACGGTCCTACGCCTATGGGCGAGCTCAAGATCTGACATATCTGCGTTTGATCCAGATCTGCCTGTGTCTGCCTACCAAACATAAATTAAACTCCTGCACACCGCGCTGTTCGACTTAAGACAACAAGCTTTGAGAAACGAGCTCTGGCCTGATGATGTCGCTTCTGTGCTAAAATGTGTACACCATCGGCGGCCACGAGATACGAGTGCATGTAAAACTGTGTGCTGTTTCAACTGCAGCAGCTTGTAGCCTCCGAAATCCCTTGATTGTGGCGTGACACCTCCGAAGTCACCCTTCCAGTGTGGCGCGGCACCTCTGAAGTCACCCTTCCGGTGTGGCGTGACACCTGTGAAGTCACTCTTCCAGTGTGGCGTGACACCTGTGAAGCCGCCCTTCCAGTGTGGCGTGACACCTGTGAAGCCGCCTTTCCAACGTGGCGTGATACCTGTGAAGCCGCCTTTCCAGCGTGGCGTGACACCCGTGAAGCCGCCCTTCCAGCGTGGCGTGACACCTGTGAAGCCGCCCTTCCAGCGTGGCGTGACACCTGTGAAGCCGCCCTCCCAATGTGGCGTGACACCTCTGAAGCCGCCCTTCTAGTGTGCCCTGTCACCCCTGATCTCGCGCTACGAGGGTGGTGCAGCACCTCTGAAGTCGCGCTCCAACTGTGGCGTGATACCTCTGATCTAGCGCTCCAAGTATAGCTCGTCACCTCTGACCTCGCGCTCCAAGTGTAGCGCGGCATCTTTGTTCTCGCACTTCCATTGTGGCGCGGCACCTCTGATCTCGCGCTCCAAGTGTGGCGCTGCACCTCTGAAGTCCCTATCTAAGTGTGGCGCGGTGCCTCCAAAGACGTCTTCCGGGCGTCCTGGCCGAGCCCGGCTCGGCGGCGGGAAAACCGACCCCCCGGCGCCACCCCTGATGGCGCGTGCGACGGTCACTATCAGCCGTGTTCATCTCAGCGGGCGCGCGCCACGAGCGCCCCATCTTGGCCGGGTCACGACTCAGCCGCGGCACCCGTCCGGCGGCCGTGACGCTCGCGCTGTCGTCCGTCAGATTGAACACCGGCAGGTCGACCGCCTACTCATGTCCACCGGCCTGTTAGTCGGCGGCCGGTGCCGGGGAATGTCCACGAGCCGGATTTTTCGAGCCGCTCGTCGCCAAATGAGGCGCGGCATGTCGGCTGCCGCGTTTTAGCTGGATGTCGATGGCATCACTGCGCCGGGCGGTGAGCGCCGGGAAAATGGATGCGCTCTCTCCGAACTTGAGAAGGTCGTTTGGAAGGGGGCGCTGGTCGGGCGGAGTGCACCACGTGTTTGCATTCGCCTGTATATTGATCAGGTGGGGACAGCTGCCAGCTAACGGGCTTCAGGCAAATGCAGCGAAATCATCGTCCAGGTGCTGTGCATCGCAGCATTCGGATATGGAACGCAACAATTAGAGCAATGCGACACTCCTCGAATAACCGGACACATTTGTCCCGCTTTTTCGAAAAGCAGAGTGCAGGTACGTAAACGAATGGTGTGTATGTGTGGATGCTTGTCAGTGGAGACCGGCCTCTCTTAAATGTGCGACGCTGGAGTGAGTTTGCATTGATTCGAATGGAGTTCAATAGTCAGAAAGATGGGAGACAAACCCTTTTCCAGGTAATTAGTTTCCTACATCACCATAGGGATAATGTTAAACCTCAGTTGAAAGTGATGAACAAGGTTTCCTGCCCAGCGTCTCTGCACCATGCGTTATGCATGTATTCAGAGGATGAAGCATCTAAAAGAGATTCCCAGTTTTACCTTTCCCGAAAAGACAGGATTATGATGCCAAAAGTGGCTTGCAACCGGAAGAAGCCAGGAGCAATCCATGTGTTGCCACACCTGAGATTTCGGCTCGTCCGCAGTGTGATGGACTAAAACGCTTGTAGCACGAGGTGATAATTTAAAATAACAGTGGCACTTTGGTGATACTCACTTTCAATCGGGTTGACACTTTGTTCCACATTGTAGCGATGTTTTGGCGTGGAGAGAAAAATGATGGCGAAAACCGAAATACTAAATGATTTAGGAAAGTATGCTGGGCTTTTTCCCATGGCCTTACACACATAAAAAATAACAGCGCCCTCTGAGAGCCATGGAGTCGTAAGTCGTAAATTTTCAAATTTGTTTATTGATGGCAGGGGGGCCGATTTGCATAAACAATTGGAGAAGGTGCTCATCCAAGGGTCTGACGACTTACAGCTTCTCCCCTCCCCTCCCCCCCCCCCCCCCAGACACACACACTGGTGTATTTCTCAGGGTATTTAAACGCACTTTGTTTTAAGGAAATAGTCATTTGATTTCCACTTTGTACATTTCACCAGTCGCTGAATTGAGCAGCATGCCTGTCATGAGCATCAAATTATAGCCAGAGACGGCTTTGAGTGATATCTAATGTTTCCTCAAAGTTCGCAATATTCCTACAAAACGAATATTGGGCGTGAAAACCGACAATGTGGCTCAGATAAACAAGGGTGATGTATCACTCGCAAAACAATACGCATTGACATCCCAGGTCGGTGGCGCTTTCATGCAACCGAGCACGCTTGGTTCTTTGGTTGGATTGTACACCAGACGTGCCTTGCGGAGAGCGCCTTCTAGACGTTATCAGGGACGGACTTGCAGGGTTTTAGGCAAGATTATGTATACAAGATATTGCAA